ATCATAAAAACTAAGTTAGAAGATTTCATCTCATAAGATATTTAAAAACGATAGAAATCTATGAAAAGGTGCCAAATTATCTGTTTTTCACATCTTCTGATTTTTTTCAATTTTTCGACCGAAAAAAGGTTTAAGAAAACTCAAGGCACACATATTCTTGACCGCCTTGAAATTCTCTATCGAATGGTTTATGAAAATCAAAAAAACAAATTTCACTTTAACTTTGATTTTTGTGTATCTTACCTACTTAAGAGAGGCTAAAGTGGCAGCGACATAAAAGAATATAAAAAAACAGCGATGTTGTTCATTTTATTTTAGTGAATTTCATCAAATAATAGTTGTTGGCGACTCATCTCCACTAATCCAACTTCCTTGTCTTTGTGACATTTTGTTAAACTTTCACGGCAAAGCCTGATTTGTTCGTCGTTCATTTAATAAGACACACAGCGGAATGTTACTTTTATCATCTTTAGAAAATCGTGAATAATTTTTTTTATGGCATCATAAGAGAGAGAAAAGCCAACTATGATATCGTCATAAGTTGGAAGTTGATTATAATTAATAATTTGTGTCAGATCGAGGATCATTATTGACATTGTCTTTTGTTTCATAAGAATGGTTTGTCTATCTTGAAACTGTTCGATTTGATAGAGCATTAGGGCCTAATACGCTTGTGAGTTCCTCGAGCATTGTCTTTGCATTAAATCTTAAAATATTTTGTTAGTTTTACGAAAAGGTGAACAAGAGTCGTTTCATAAATACTAACACATAAAAATAGGTATTTATCATTGCTTCTTCTCTCTTTAGAAAAAAAATGAACAAATATTGTAAACCAGTGACTCAATTAGTCGTATTCCTAAAATTTCATACGAATCGCTTCAAATCTATGAACACTCTCGTCAGACAACCACAGCGTTGTTTGGGTGACGAAAGATCGAACTATCGTTCTACAATTGGTTTAAAACATTTTTCTAATGACCATGAAAACATAATTTCATTCCACGGGCTCAGAAAAGCTCGAGAAGTGTTGGAGGCCATTAGTTCAGTATACGTGAATTATCATAACTTGGAACAAAAAGATTTGGTGAGCTACATGGATACTCTTTTCTTTGTTGAGAGTCTTATCTATTTAATCGATGAAAATAATGAAGGTCCACAAAACAATGATAGATTATTAAAATTTGACTTTTCTAATCTTTCTTGTATTTCTGAGCAAGAATTTTTCGATAATATTAATCGAAATCGTTCACTATCCATTCTCTACACATTCTTGAACAATCATGGTTTCTATGATTCTTACATAGACAATCAGTTACGCTGTGGTCTTTTATACTTTAAATTAGAACAGTGGTGCATTCGATATGTCTCAGATGCACATTTAAGGTGTCAATTAAGTGAGAACATTATTCAGAAGTGTAATTCTCTTCGTTCGTTCGATTTTCGAATGCTTCACTTATTGTTATATCAATTAACCAGCAAGAAATATGTTCAAGATATTTTGGATCTTTGTTATATTCGAGAAATACTTGGTGACACTATTGACGATTTTCTCGACTATGAGGACGACATATTGAAAAATGCATTTAATGCTTATCGAATGTATGTTAACTTGTATGGAGCAAACGAATATGCTATGGCTAAATTTATGAAATATTTTCTTGATATTCAAGATCAATATGCTAAAATATATACGGCATTTAGCATAAAATTTCCACATTTAATGAAATTACAACGGGAATGTGATACTGTACAACTCAAATATGAAGAAACTCGACCAGGCGTATATAAGATTACTTCTAATTTAGCCATTCCAAAGCCTATTTATGATGAGAACAGTTTTAGAAAGCATTTTAAAACCGCAAACAACGGTCGTATAACACATGATGTTCAAGGGAATGTTGACAATAAGACAACTGCTTAGAATGTCGACCTTGTATACTGTAAAAGAAAAGACTAGACACTATCAAATGATATCATGATGAGTAAACAATACTAATACCGTTATTTATAAAAGTTCATATCGGAGCACACGAATTTTTGAACTTGTTGTCTTTCAAAAACAGCCTTATTGTCTATCTATTTGTCCTATAAGGAAGCCTCCATTTACCATATCAATTATAGAAATTTTCTCTTCAAGACAAGAAGATTGAAAAACTTCTATTCCTTAAGTTATAAGGTCATCTTTAATGTATACTTAAATTAGATAATGGATCTTTTTTATGCTGCTCGTCATCGAAAGATTTTGTTTTCATTGATGCCATACAACGCTAATATTAATCGGATTTATAACAGCCCTTACATAACTTTTTCTTAAAGATAAACTTTTATTTGATTACTGGTCAAGTCATAGATTTACTGAATATTGTAGCGAAATCGCAGATTTCCTTTTTTTGTATCGAGCGCCCCAGATAAAATCGGATGCTCTTATTTTAATCATATCATCTTTTTTTTAAAGCTGTAGGAGTAGTTGTTTTTCTCAATAGACTCTCCGAGAGACTCTATAAAACTCTAAATTTTAATTAATGCAAAAAGCTTCCAGTGTTTTGTAAAACTACATACATTCTTCTATTCCAATCGTCAAAACTTTCTCTTACAACATCACAATGAAACTTCTTTATAGCATACTTTAAGTCATTAGTCAATATCGATGCTTCATAGTTGTGATTTGAATTCAAATAAGTTATTGTGTTCGGTTAGAATTGAATGAGGCGATGAATTAGAGTGGAATATGATCTAAATTGTTGTTAATTAATGAACTGAAGAGTGATGTAAAAAAATTTCTTTATTATGTTGTAGGGGCAAGTGCTGAGGATTGGAGTAAAAGAATGCATGTAGTTTTGGAAAACACTGGAAACTTTTTGCATTAAATAAAATTTAAAGTTTTATAGAGAATCTCGGAAAGTCAATTGAGAAAAAACTGCTCCTGTAGCTTTAAAAAAATAGATGATATGTTCAAAATAAAAATATCCGATTTTATCTGAGCCACCCGATATAGTGTTTTATCCAATCATGTTTGCAAACATTTTTATGCCTATATTCATGAAGATGGTGATTTATTGTTGATGCAGATATTGACTTCGGATGAATTCTTGATCAGTTTTCTCTTGTTTTATCAAGTGCTATCTCATTAAAACACCGAAAAAATTGATCAATAAGTTTTTTTCTGTTCGAAGAAGCATACGTGGTTGAATGTTTTCCTCTTGAGGTTAAAGTAACCTGTTTTTTTTTTCAAATTATCAATACTGTAGTATATATATATGGGCATAACCAGTCATGGTGATACCCCATTCATTTTACTATAATTATTTAGTAGAAAAATGTGAAATTTTTACCATATATAGTACATATAGAGTGCTAACGATTTGTCATTTTCAAAGATCTATGTGTCGCTAGAATAGAAAATTTTCAAGTACTTCTTTAGAACCAGTACTCTAAACGCAAATGAAATATCAGTGGTACCAGTCTATTAGCAAATGATCATACAAGAAGAAACAACATATTCTACTATTTATTTGCGAATTGGATGTTTATCTAAGTTCATGTTACCTAGAGCAGAAAAAACTTGTGTGGTCTTAGTTATTTTTTCAAAATTATCAATCGTTCCTCAATAAACACCACCTAGAATAGCATAAGTTTTGAGACGTTGATTTATATTTTCTATAGCTGCTCTTGCGCTATTAATATTACGATTGAAATTTTTGTCTTCATCCGTTAATTCACGTCCATGGTGTTTTTTTCTTGAAATTACTACATAATCTTCGCCAATATATCCTTTATCAGCAATAATTTGCACAGAATCGTTCACATGTTCTAATAGTCCCATATTCTCTTAGCATTGTGATATCATGTACACTCCCACGATAACATTCGGACACATGTACTATTCGATGATGAAAGTCACAAGCTATCTGTATCTTCACTGCATAATTTGTTGGACTTTTTGAATGATAATAAGCTTTACGTTGATCTGAATCATAAGGTTCAGGAATTGCAATGGAAGTCGAATCAACTGTTAATTTATGGTGTCGTTCTAGACCATGCGGTGTTCGATTACTTCCCATATTGATAGGTAATGAAATTAATTCTGGATATATACAGGAATGTAAAATATCGATGATTTCTGTTAGGAAATAATTTACTGTTGATCGACCCAAATTGATCTCTGTAGAAATATATTGTTCAGGATGATAATGTTTTAAATTCCATAATGTAACCACAAGTAAATTGATGGGAGAAAGATATGGTGTTATAATATCGTCTTTATGTTTTTCTTTTCTATGAGATGGATAGCGTATAAGAGATTCTTCGCACATAGAATATAGTTGTTGTATTTGTTCAACGTCATGCTCTGTATGTTGTATGCATGACTCATCAGTACGTCGCCAATCTGACCATGGACGTTGTTCGAAAATAAAAGAATAAGAGAATATGTGTGTAAACTAAAAAGACTAATGTCACTTACTATCATTCAAACCATGAAACTGTTGTTGAATAGTAACTCGTTTCTTTTCGGTTTCTTGTTGCTTTTCGTCTTCGAGTTCTGCTTTGCAATAATCACAAATGTTTCGATGACGATAGTAGTTCGTGTATAAACCTGATTTTCCTGAACTAATACATGTCCAAGTTAACATGGAGTGACAATCAATACAATATTTTTGTCGATCAGAGACTGAAGATCAATATTGAGAGCAATTTCATTCAATTTGTGAAGAGAGCATAATACGAGAACAGGCGGTATTTATTATCAAATGAAAGTGTATTTAGAAGAAATAAGAATGGAAAAACGTGCGAAAAAACACACTAAGGACGAAAATAGTATGACTATAATGAACTGACAACAGAACGAAGGAAATATTGTTGTACAAGAAGTACACGCCTAGAGAAAGATGTAAACTAACATGCTGTAAAGTATGTCCCTATAGTGATTATATAAATATGTTTCAAAAACCTTCTTTTCTAATGTCATATACATATCGGATAATAACAAATCGTTAGCACTATATATGTACCATATATGGTAAAAATTTCGCGTTTTTCTACTAAATAATTGTAGTAAAATGAATGGGGTATCACCATGACTGGCCATGCCCATATATATAGTCCTCAGTAAAATATCTTTAAGACTCCACAAGAGAAGTTGACGATTGCTTGAGAAATTGGCTCAATTGACTCTAAATTCATAATTCGAAAATTTGCTGATTTCTAACAGACAGAAATTTTGTGCAGCCATCTGGTCGATTTAAACGTGTTCAACAGTTCTGTCACTAAATGCATAAAAGTTTAGAGATGAAACGCTATAGGTTTGCTTTATATGATATGCGTCTACTATTATGTACTTTCTGACTTAGGCATTTTTTTTGATGCACTTTGAGCCCTACGAGGTTCTACAAGATACAAAGAAAATCAAAGAGGTTACATATGAATTTTGGAAGCAGATGTTCATATTCTAAAAACTTGAGGCATGTAAGGAGAACAGCTCTGGACGATAGGATACATCGATGGGAAAATCGTTCCCATTTTAGCAGAAATCGATCATCCCACATAAAGTCATATCCAAAAAAAGCGAAATCGAAAAACAGATACAAAGTTGCGCCCATCTATCACTTTAAATTAAATCCGTTTCATCTAAACCATTTTGCGTTTCTGCTGTATGAAATCAGCATCTTCAACAAACTACCCTAAAGAAAACAACAAATACTATTGATTTCTGCATATATAATGAACGAGTTTGATCGTTTTCTCCTTATGTATTATACATTTCTCCTGAAGAGGCTTGAAAGCATTCATTTATTTCTCTTAGGAAATTTTTGATTTCTACTATATAAAATCGAGTTCTGTTGAATATTCTTCGTTGAGGATAAGAAGAAATGCTTAATGGATTTCTACTAGAAGGCTCTCCACGAATGTTAGATGTTAATGTTGTTCCTGTATACAAGCGTTTCTGCTTGACTTTGTGTAAGGTGATCGATTTTTGCTGAATTGAGAATAATTTCTCGATTTGTGGAGATTTTGTCCAGACCTCAAGGAGAATCCTAAGAATAGAAAATCTGTCGATTCTACACTATTAAATACTGATTTGTAGAAATGCAACACTGAATACAGCTTTGATGATTGCTATATTCATTCAACCAGCTGTTGATACTTTTGCAACCATTTGCATTCTTACACTGTAATACATAAAAGATAAGTGTTTTTTCTAATTTATTTTGTGTAACTGGTGCAAACTGGAATCACATTTAATCTGTCTTTGGTGGACTAATCAAATACAAAACAAGGCCTTAAATTTTTAATCATATATAGGGGTGTAGGTGTGGGTGTGTGAGTATGGATGTGGGTGTGGGTGTGTGGGTATGTGTGGGTGAAGGGTGTGGGTGTGTGTGGAGTGTGGGGTATGGTTGTAAGACCCTTCGCATAAACTCACACTCACCCCGAACCCACACCCATACTCACACACCCACCCATACCCATATTCGCCTCTAAAACCAATAAAAAGAGGTTATAAAGTTTAGTGTTTATGTAATCCAATCACTGGTTATTTAGTCAACTATCAAATCTACTTAGGAATAAAGGAAAGCAGTAGAAAAGAACCACCTTTGGGCGAAGGTGTTGTTTTCGAACTTTTATTTGACCATAACTTTCAAGGAAAAAATCTATGTTTCGATAATTTTCTCACTTCTCTTAGATTATTAGGAAAGCTAAAGCTACAGAACATAAAAGCCTGTGGAACCATCAGACTAGATCGTGCACGTATTTCGTCAGATTTAGCCTAGAAAAATAAAATGGAACGAGGCGACTCTAACGAGGGAACATATGCAAGTGTAAAAAATCTTTTGAGTTCGGACTCTGTGCATAAGGTAGACCCCAGTGAGCTATGAAAAACCCTAAAAGGATAAAGGCTGTTAGGTCTTCTGTCCAGAGTTACAGGTATTTTACTGGAATTTTAGCCTATGGCATGATATATACCAACAAATCGAATGATTGTATTTCGACCTGAGATTTTGCCCACAGGCAGATCTATTTATGAGTAGAATACCCTGAAAATTTCAGCTGAAAAGA